GTATTTTAGTTGTTTCAAAGTGGAATTTGTATTAGTTTGATCACAAATAAAATGATGACTTAATTTTAAAAAGTTTGTTTTTATGTAGAATGGAATAGAATAAACAGCCTTTATGGTCCTGTGCGGGGGAAATTCAGGTGTAGTAGCAGCAGATACATACATTAATCCATAAAAACAGTATATTGCTATGTGACATTATCAGCTGTAGCAATATTAATATAATTAAAGATAGTAACAATAAAAAATAAACATAGAGCAAAATAAAAATAAGAATAAGAATTACTGTACCGGACTATCAAGATGAAATTAGATAAAAATGAGAATAAAAGCAAGATACCGGGCAGAAAAATGCAAAATTACAAGAAAAAAACAGTCATGACAGGAAAAATGATGTACAGTTGCCACTGGTTATTATTTATGTAATGATTGAGAGGTAGAGTTGTTCGGCGTGCAAACACAAACATGGATATTTATCATGATTGTTGGGAGCAGTGACGGTTATAGAGTCTAACAGCTGATGGGAGGAAGGATCAGCGGTAACGCTCCTTTGTGCATTTAGGATGCAGCAGTCTGTCACTAAAGGAGCTCTGTAGTTCAGACACAGATCCATGCATTGGGTGGGAGGTGTTCTCTGTTACTGATGTTATTTTGTCAGAGTCCTCTATCTCACTATTGTCCTCCTTTCTGGTTTGTTTCAGGCTAGCAACTCTCTGTATTTTTTCATCTCTAACACATAGACGACACAAGACAATGGAGCTTCAAAACACCACTTTTGGCAACTCTTCACAAGCTCATAATGTTTGGGAGGTAATCACCATCGCCACGGTGTCTGCCATCGTCAGCTTGATAACTATAGTTGGAAACGTGCTGGTGATGCTGTCTTTCAAAGTGAACAGCCAGCTTAAGACTGTAAACAACTACTACCTGCTCAGCTTGGCCTTTGCTGACCTTATCATAGGAGTGCTGTCCATGAATCTGTACACTACTTATATATTGATGGGCTACTGGTCCTTGGGGAACCTTGCGTGTGACCTCTGGCTCGCAGTAGATTATGTGGCCAGCAACGCTTCAGTTATGAATTTACTTGTCATCAGCTTTGATAGATACTTCTCTATTACAAGGCCTCTGACTTATAGAGCAAAGAGAACTCCAAGAAGAGCTGCCATCATGATTGGACTGGCCTGGCTGGTGTCCTTTGTCCTCTGGGCCCCGCCCATTCTGTGCTGGCAGTACTTTGTAGGAGAGAGAACTGTGCCTCTGGACCAGTGTCAAATCCAGTTCTTAACCGAGCCCGTGATCACGTTTGGAACGGCCATCGCCGCCTTCTACATCCCCGTCTCGGTCATGACCATTCTCTACTGCAGGATCTACAAAGAGACTCAGAAACGGACGAAAGACCTCGCCGAGCTGCAGGGGCTGGCGACAGAAAACGTTCTGGAGGGATCCAAACCGCAGAAGACCGTCATCCATTCCTGTTTTCACTTCACCAGAGAGAGGCGAGACCAGAGTCAGGCCTCGTGGTCCTCGTCCAATCAAAGCAACGCCACGAAAACGACCGTAAGGTCGGACGAGGCATGGGTAAAAGCAGACCAGGTCACGTCTTTTAACAGCTACTCGTCATCAGAGGAAGAGGAGCATCACGGTTCCACAGACACCCCTGAAGGATCATTCAAGGATCAACACGCTGGACAGAGCGATAAGAACGGCCAGGCGTCAGAGTACACAGAGGACCAGTACTTTTCCACTCCTCAAAAGAAGAGTCAGAAAAAGTGCATCTCTTATAAATTCAAACCTGGCTCCAAGAACAAAAACAGCAACTCCACAAATCCAGCAGCTCCTGAGCCAGAGGAGCCCGCCAAAAACACACCTTCCTCCTCCTCTACCTCCAAACCCATAGACCCGGCCCTGAAGAACCAGATCACCAAGAGGAAGAGGATGGTRCTGGTGAAAGAGAAGAAAGCGGCTCAGACCCTGAGCGCCATCCTCCTGGCCTTCATCCTCACCTGGACGCCGTACAACATCATGGTGCTCATCTCCACGTTCTGCGCAGAGTGCATCCCCGTGTCCCTGTGGCACCTGGGCTACTGGCTGTGCTACGTCAACAGCACCATCAACCCCATGTGCTACGCCCTCTGCAACAAGACCTTCCAGAAGACCTTCCGCATGCTCCTGCTCTGCCGCTGGAGGACGAGGAGGCGAGGCAAGGACAAGCTGTACTGGGGCGGCCAGAACCCCAACGCCAACAGTAAGGTCAACTGACGCACACCTGTTGGTTCACACCTGGCGGGTGTTTTATCTTCGGCATGATGTGCTGCATGTGTGTCGAAAACACGCGCCGGCGGGAAACGAGTAGAATGAGAAAACGTGGCTAATTAGCTTTAAAGCTAAAGTGTGGTCAGTTCAAGATGTGTGAACGGACACGCCTCTGACATACCAAAAACATCTCCAACTGAAACATCTGTGTTTGTGTTGTGGTTAGTGCCAAGTTTTACAAGAAAACGTAAAAAAAAGAAAACGAAAAAACTGGAAATGTTTTTTTGTGTGTGTGTAACAGTCCATCAGGTGTTTCAGAACTGCTTTTTCATACAAAACAAAGAAACGTTGGAATAGTTTTGTTGTTGTATTGTTCAGTTATTTATTTAAATGTTAATTTGGATGTAGAGAAATTTCATTTTTCACTGCAAAACCACAACTCAAAATGTGAAGATGTTGCTTGAAATGTAAACAAAAATCAAAAAATTGAATCCAATGATTTGTAAATCTCATGAAACTTATATTTTATTCAAAGTTTTACCATTTTTACCATTATGAAGCAGCCTGTAAACAAATGAGGAAAGCAACTGGAGTTCTAGCCCACGGGTCTTCAACCTGTGGCTCTGGGGCCAAACTTTGGACCCTCTACGGTGGCTCTGAAGCAAAACATCGGAGCTTAATTTTTTAAGTTTTTTAAACTCAGCAGCCAATTTGTTTGGAAATATGTGTTAACTGTTAACAGAAGTGAAACGTGCTGATTTGATCATGCTAGTAGCCTGTAGGCCAGGATCTCTGTGTTAAATCCTGCAGGATGTTCTATAAAACCTTAGARACGTTGCTGAGAAGAAATATGACGAGTAAAAAAAGTCTGCATAGGTCAGTGTTTTAATTTTGTATTAAGTTTGGGATAAACTACATATATTTTTCTTGTTTAAATGAATCAGATCCTTTTTTTTTTGGTCATAAAACATTTAAAAATCTGTATAGTTTTTATTTTATGATGCTGGAAAAGCCCCCCTTCGACAAACACAAAGTGGCCCGCGAGCCACCAGTTGATTTTGTGGTTCTGGATTTTTTTGATTGTAAAAGTTGTCGACCCCTGAGGCTGGATGTTATTCAACAACAAAAACTTTTTTCTGCATTGATGGTGCTTTTGTGTATTCTGCTGTTAGATGCACTAATGCACCCGCATAACATCAGAGAGGCAGATTTTCTTTCAAACTGTGTGCTGAGAACAGGCCGGATGTGGCATCTGTGATTTACAGAAAAAAAAAAAATCACATTTGTGCAAAATTATTTTTCTATTTTTAAACCTTTAAATAAGGGTTAATGAGATGATTTATTTACATTTGACATGTTTTCAGAGGTGGAGAGACTAAGGGGTGAGCTGGGGTGAGGGTTGCTGTTTCAACTTCCTGTAGTGACAATAGCAACAAAAAAATAAAAAAATGTGGGTGGGAAACCCTCATTTGTCCCACTCTGGGCTCTTGAGCAAGGCTTTAACCTTCCAGCTGCTGTCCGAGCGCCCTCTGCTCCACATGTGCTCAAAAATATGGAGAGAAATAATTTCCTCACTGAGGGACAATAAAGATTATTATTGTATATTTAAAGAGCGCTGATAGGAGTCTTTCAAACCTCTCACTATTGGTGCACGAGAACCTGCAGGAATATAAAAAGGGATAAAAATATTAAAATTCTCATGTTTTTCCATGAGTCTAAAATGAACTGATGCTGCTTGGTGTACAGCTCTTATGGTTTCATATTGRTGTAAATATAATGTTTAAATGTTGGGTTTTGGTTGTGCTGCGTTGATTTGTCCTCGTGTTTGATCAGTTGGAGGTATTTTATTTTGACAGTCTCGTTAGCGACGGTGACCACGCCTCAGAAAATTCAACAGCTGCTGTAAACGAGTGGACGGACGATGAAGACTTCTCTGTGGTTTGATTTGTCTATAAAAACTGAAATCAGCAGTTTGTGGCTTTGTTATATAAAAATGTGCTTGAAAATAAAGTTMAACTTTCGTATAATTACACTTAGTGTTTTTTAAGCTCAGAAACATAGATTGTATTCTCATTTCTCTTCATTGTTACTATAATAATTACATTTTATTCTTTAATTTAAAACTAGAACATATCCAGACATCATCTTCTTCCTTTCTAGATCAYTGGTGCTCATTTACAGTCTGTCGCTGTTTTTAATTTTTAATATTTAAGGAGGAATTACGATCAAAACACACAAAATAAAACACTACGGCTCACATGCCAGTAGGACGAGTGCTGCTAAGCCTCACAGGGGAGTCCCAAGTCTCCACACTGGTCCCACAGCTCTGGATTCAAACAGTTAATGGTGTTTATTTGTTGCATCACATGGAAAGAACTGAACCACTGAGCATGTGTGGTACATTATGGCTCCACAGGTGTTCTGATAAACAGAAATTAGTTTAAAATGTTTACAGTCCTTTAGCAGTAACATTTGAGMTGACAGTATTAGTACTCTATAAATTTACAATGACCGTGACATGAATAAATTCAAATGCAGGATCTTTAGTTTTATATGAGCAGGATTGAGCTCCAAACGTTGCTGCAGATGTCAGAAATCAAACACAAACTCATGTTCAGGAGATGAACCTGATTACAGCTCTGTCTCTTTTACGGCTTCTTGTTGGCTCAKAAGTTACTTTCTGAAATAGTTTTCCTCAACCATGTTGTATTTTGCGCACGGCTTTTGAAAATGAAATTCCATTTGGTAAATCCTTGAACGTTAATACCTTCCCAGCTCATGAAATTCTGTTTTTAACAGTGACGGCTGCTGTGAGGGGGGCCGGTGGATGTCAGGACCCTGAAACTGAAGCAACAAGAAACTCAAAGTTTCCACAAGTGATCAGTTCCTTCATGTTGCTTCCATTTCATTCTCATGCACTACATTTATAAAAATATATCAAGATTAAAGGAATTCTATGGAGATAAAACAGTGCCCTAAAGTTTTTTTTATGGCTCCGCCCACTGGAGCTGAAAGCATTCTGTTCTCTGTTAGTACGGTATCCATCCGTCACGGGTGGTCTTGTGTGCTCAATATCTCCTGAATGAAAAGATATATTTATTTATAAACAGGCATAGTAACTCCATTAGGGTAGAACTCAGTCTGATTAGATTTGGGCATCAAAGGGTCAAAGGTCATTTATGAGGTTGGTAATATAAAGCAAAAAGGCAGACATGTCTAGGGCAGGCAGAGGCACACCGATGTTCACCCATCGACGCTTTGGCATCCAGTTCCACCTTGTTTCAAAAAATAAATTGTTCTGAAACTGAAATTTTTTTTTAAATTAAAAAAAACTTTGAACTGAAAGAAAGATTTGAAATTGTAAAACTGTCAAACTAAAAAAAAAGATTTATTCTATGATACAATGGCCTGCCATTGTTTTTATACCGTATATAATACAACCTGCCATATTTTATAATTATATGACCCAACAGCCTAGAATACTTGACCTGCCATACCTCATTAAATAATTCAACGGCATGCCATATTTCTAAATTATGACACAGCATCCTGCTATATTTTGTTAATTAGAATTCAACAGCCTGCCATACATTATTATATTAGTCAACGGCATGACATATTTCTAAATTATACGACATAATGGCCAAAATTAATTATGATTCAACGGCATGCCATATTTCTAAATTATATGACACTTCATCCTGCTATACTTCATTAATTATGTTTTACTTTTTAAACACAGTTTCAAAATAGTTTTAAACTTTTTGTTTTGTTACAATTTTTTTCCAGTTTCAATTATATATTTTAAAACTAATTTAGCTTAATAAAAATCCTCAGTAGTGGACAAAACATAATCTGAAGCTACAATAATACTCACTTTGGAGCAACTGAGGTCAAAATCTTCACAAATCAAGACCTTCCTTACAAAAATGATGCGTTTATGAAAACGGTTTAAACTTCAGATAATGTAAGAAAATAAGAAAATAAACGTGTGTTAATAACTTTAATTTTGACATTATATTCCATTTTATTTTAAGTAAAACCAGATCTCCATAGAAATCTGAAAACAAACACAGTTCTTCCACTCTTTGACTTGTCATATAATTTACACATCTCAGGCACATAATGTACAGTATGTGAAATAAAGGCATACAGTACGCCACAATTTTATTTTAAAGTATGAGGTCAAATAGGATGATCTGAAATAAAAGCTGTTTGATACATTTTAATTTATATAGAGCTTTAAATAAGAATTTATTCATCTTAAAGTTTAACTTATTTTCATTCACAGTCGGATTATCAAAATGGACCAAAAAGAACATCTATTAATATGTATATTTGCTCTTTTTTTTAGACAGAAGAATTTAGCAGCAGTGGAAAAACAAAACCAAAGCTYAGCACAGTGAAGACTGACAGAAACCTTTTACATCAGGAATATATACGGAGAGAAAGAAAACAGCTTTTACAGATTTGTTTTAAATCAGTGCTGTATGGAAAAAAAAATGCTGGAGACATGTTTTCATAGAGAAATCTGTACAATAGACCCAGAGGAGCGGGGGAACGATGACACTTAAAAACCTTGCTTTAATGCTGCCAGATGGTCTCAGCAGCCGTGTGCAGTAACTACCTCCTCTTGGCTGGCGGCCTGCTGCCCTTGCTGCTGCTGCTGCTGCTTGCCTTGCTGGAGCCCTTGGATCCAGAGAAGAGCTTGGTCATGAGCTCGGAGACGTCCGGGAGCTCGGGGTTGGGGTTCAGCATGTTCATGGACTGCTCCATTTCCTGCAAACGTGACAAATAAATAGAAGCAGATGAAGCAAAAACAAACAAATCGCAGGCAGTGGTTCTGTTTTCTTTCCTTTAAGACAGGGGTGGGCAATCCTGGTCCTGGAGGGCCGCAGCCCTACATGTTTTACATGTTTCCTGCTCCAACACACCTGATTCAGTCACTGAACTACCTCTTCATGTTCTGCTGTACGGAGGACCAAAACTGACAATTAGAAGTAAAAGCAGAAACTTATAAACGAATATACATATAAATAAATATGTTTAAAATGCACCAAATAAATTAAAAAGGAACTTAACCTCAAGTTTTATAATTTAATTCACCTTCATATTTATTTTTCCAGCTTAGTTCCAATAAATTGTATATTTTAACACAATTTAAATTTAAAATTTTTAAATATATATTTTTATATAGTTTTTCCCTTTTTTGTACATGCATTTGTGTCTCTTAAATGCTTAAATGTAATTATTTTTATATATTTTTTAAATAAAAGGCACAGGTAATCCTCCTTGCCTTTGTTTTATACTAAACTTTAAGTTAAATTGAGGCACCACAAGCATGCAACACATTGAAATAAAAAGACTTATTGGAAAAAATGTAAACATAATTAAGTATAAACATTTAAGAGATAAATGCATGTACAAGTAAAGGAAAAACAATTAATATATATTATGTAAAAAAAACAGTAAAATTTAAAATATGTGCTAAAATATATAGACTAATTTATTGAAACTAACCTGGAAAAATAAACATGAAAGTCAATTAAAATATAAAACAAGAGATAAAGTTCTCTAATTGGTGCATTTTAAGTGTATTTATTTAGTGGTTCATTTTTATGATTCTGCTTTTATTTCTAATTATGTCAGTTTTGGTCCTCCGTACTGCAGAAGCCTGATAATCATTCATTCATTCATATCAGGTGTGTTGGAGCAGAGAAACAAGTAAAACATGCAGGGCTGCGGCCCTCCAGGACCTGGTTTAAGAGTAATATTTCAGTTACAATTAGCACATAAAAACATATCCTAAATGTATTTATTAAAACTAGAGAATTGGGCGTTTGCTCTGAGATTCTGACAGTGTAAAAACCAAACGTGGCGTGCCTATACACACAATAAGAGACTTAAAGGTGTGGCTTACCTTCCTCATCTCTGGGTCATTGGTGTTGACCACCTTAGGCAGCAAAACAATGATCAGCAGAGGCAAAACCATCATCATAACCTGCAGAAGCAACAAGAACATTTGAAGGTGAAATGTTTTAACTTATGTCATGTACTACTGACAAAAATCTGTTTCTTTAACACGTAAGCTGATCCGAATTACATTGCTTAAAATTTATTTTTTCCTATGTAGGAGAAAACATGTTTTACTTCCTGGATCTGATGATGCAGCAACTTCACTACATCTACTTAACTTACTGCACGTCACGTATTACACTGAGCAGGTTTGTTGAATTAATTACCATAGGGTTCATGAGGAAGTCTGTCCAGCCCCATGTTTCTCTCTTCATAAAGTAGCTGTGAGGACCAATGGACCTGATTTGAAGAGGGTACGGCTGGCGAATCACCTCTGATGTTTTGATGTAATTCACAAGACGTGCCCTGTTAATAAAAGGGTTAAAGCAGGTTACACTCACACTGGAACAAAAATATCAGYTCATATAAAAAGCTAAAATAATGTGCTTTTTTAATTAATCTCACCTCATTTTTCCTTTAGATGTGATATCAACACGCACTGGTTCAAACCTATATGTTGGTGTAACGATTTCAACGACGTAAGATCCTGAAGGAACATCATTCACAGCGAAACTCCCATCAGTTCTGGAACAAAGGAACCTTGTGATTAAAAACAACTAGGGCTTTGATGAACTCCAGTGCAAGAGATAAACTTGAGACAACTAAAATAAATACATATGAGGTTATTTTAAAACAAGTTTTTCATTAGATTTGTGTTAGGGTAACTGAATTTCTCTGCAATGCACTGACAACTTATTTTTAACTCCCACTTACTAGAATGTGAAAGAATTTATTGATAGAAATCAACAGAAGAGTAAAAATGGAATCTTTCACTTGAAAACACAGATTTAAGATAAAACTTCGCTAAAATATTCAAGTAAAGCACAACTATTTTCATTTTTTAAGGTATGAATAAACTACATTATTTTCWGTCAGTACATGTTTCTTTCAGTTAAAATATATACACAGCAAAATAGCAAACAGGCGTTTGTGCTGTAAATGTTAATCTTAGCTAATAGTCTATGCTAAGCTAATAGTCACATCCCTAGAGGCCTCATTCAAGAGCAGTTTTATTTAAATTAAATGGGAAATTAAAAGTTACATTTTGTGACATGATAAACCTCCACGAAGTCGTAAATTGGCAACAGAGTTTAAAGCTGCCATGTGTTTTAGTCACAAGCAGCGTTATTTAAGCTGCTAGCTGACGATGCTAATGCTAATGCTAAGCAAACTAGGCTAGCAAGAAGTAGCCTCCAAGTGTAGTGGTTTCTTACCTTAAAAACCCCACGTACTCCTCACCCTCGACCAAGACTCTGGCCGTAGAGACCCAGTCTTGTGTTTTAATGCCGGGAACTATCGCTCTTCCCTCGATTTTGAACCGATCTCCAGGCCCTGAATCCATGACGTCAGTGAAGCAGCTAACCACGGCTAGCGTAGCATACATGAAAAGCCATAACTGCGATAAACTCTCTCTGTGCAACATGTTGCCTGGCTTTGCTGAATTTAAAAAAGGCAGGTCTCAGAGAGAATTCGCACTGACAAGTACTCGAGGCAGGTTAGGTTATGGGAGAAGCGGAAAACAGCGCCGCATCAGCTGTCTCTGCGGAAAATGACGTAATTTGAAAAAACTTTATTGTTCGAACCAACAATTACAACGTTAGGAGTGAAGTGTCGAGTTGAAAACTTTCAAACTAAAAAAATGTAGTTCAGGGCCCCACTCATTTTGTAACAAAGTAATTATTTGAAGACAAGACAAAGACTGTAAATATAACAATATATTATACTTCAAGACAATTTTAATATTTATGAATTCAAATGAAATTTCATATTCTGCTTGAACATTTTTCTTTTGCCGTCCTTACTGTATTTAGGAATAAAAGACCACAATCAAACAAAAAATAAATCCTATTTTTCTTAAATAAATTTATTTAAAAGAAAGTAAAACTGAAACTTGTTTTGACATTTTACATTATACGAGCAAATGTCACAGAACAGTGAAACATGAAAAATCACTAATAACTTAAAGACTGTGGGAGCTTCAAGTTCCTGATTTTAGACAAACCAGGAGCAAAACACAGAAAACAAGAGGCCATTCAAACCATGATGGAAGTGTTGCAGCGACAGACTAAGACATTGGCACTTCATAGAGCGAAACATTAACGCCCTGTCTCGTGAGGTCCACTAAACCTTTCACAAGACGGTCCACTTCAATGTGAAGCAGTCATTTTTGCTGTGCAGGCTGGACGTCTCCAGCTCACACCGAGATTTGTCTGAAAGCTCGAGTTCAGTCCCAGTTGAGAGGTTTGAGTGTGAATGGCGTGAACCAGTCCATTTGTCTGGAAACATCAGCTCAAAACACAACCATGATCTGCAGTAGTGGTCACATCCTCGGAGTGCTGCGTGAACAAGTGTCAGGGCAGCTGCCGTACACACGCCTCAACAGCCTGAAAAACAAAAACACACAGCACACAGTCAGCTAAATACAAATCTGTTGAAAAATAAAGCAATAAAGTTACATTTTTTAAAGATTTAATCATCCAAACTCAAGTTTGATCATTTGAATTTGTTAAGGAGATTCTTAATGCAACTCTATAGTTTTTATTTTAACTTCTGATTGGTGGATACAGTGTAAATWATTACCACAAAGTTTAACACTATACAGGGACTGAAAATACATAAAATCTAACTTGTTTTATTTTAAGAATCCCTGCACATCTTAAACTCCTTAAAGCCCTGATGAGTCTCTTCATACCTTTGCCAGTTCTCCAACAGATCCTGGCAACAAACAGAATCGAGCTCCTTCTTTCCACAGGTCCTTCAGTCGCTGCCTCATGATGTCCACATTCCTGAAACAGAGACGCAGACATCGGTCCAGGATCCAGTTCATTTCTCCTCAGGCTGACAGTTCACCATGAACACTATGTTTAACTTTAACAACCATTTGTTTTAAAAAATAAAACAATGGCATGCTTCACAGACRTGTTAAGACAGGGGTGTTGTATTAAAGAGAGTCATGATGGGTTCAGATTATTAAACATTTTGCACCAAATCTCAACCCAGAGCTTTATTTTTCAATTAGTYTTTACATTTGAGACGAGCCTCAGAAGGCAAACTATTCAGTTTCCATCGTCAGTCTTAGATGTTCTCTCTCCTTCAAACTGACCGTTTGTAACAGGGCTGCACAATATGTAGAAAAGTTATCGTCATCACGATAATGGTCTGTGCAAGAGGCATATGACAAAAACTGCATAAACTGCAATAAATGGTTGGCTCAAAAGTTTGCTTTTATGAGTTTTGTCACTCAGATGGAAGCCCATCTCCAAATAAAGCCTTATTATATTCTAGGGGTGCACGATAACTATCGGCCAGATATCAGGAGATTATGACATCATACTTATCGGCCAGATATCAGGAGATTATGATGTCATATTTATCGGTCTAATATCATAACAAACAGAACCGATAATATATGTACATGTTTACCAGCGCAGCGATGAGAATGAATGCATGTTTATTTTTATCTGTTTTGGTCAAGCCGCTTCCCGTTCTACCTGACCCGAGCAACGTTCAAGTGGCGTTGGAAAAAACAACTTTCTCACTAGAAAAATAATTACAATACGCTGTGCTGAAAAACAACCAACCAGTCATTTTAATGATTATTAATGTTATTTTACTAATTAACCCTGTACGTTACACACAAACTTCATAATTATAAACATCGGAACAACTACTCCCAATTTGAGAACATGTAAAATCTGTTACCTCCTGAACGCAGCACAAAGTCCGTCTGCTAAAATGTTAACAACCAGCTAGCGTTCAAGAACTCATCGAGGCTTAAATCATTGCTAAGGCTTTTGACAAATCAAAAAAATAAATAAATAAATAAAATAAAATTGCCAGAGGAAGCAAGATCTCAATTTAACGATGGAAATGACGACAAGCAGCCATTCACCCTCGCTAAGGACCGAAGCTTTTATCTCCTTGTTAGCTACGGTTTAGCACCGTTGGCCACGCTTTACCACCGTTAGCCACGCTTTAGCAACAGACACGGTTTAGCACCGTTAAGACACGGTTTAGCACCGTTAGCCACGGTTTAGCACCGTTAGCCACGTTTTGGCACCGTTAGCCACGTTTTGGCACCGTTAGCCACGGTTTAGCAACAGACACGGTTTACCACCGTTAACCACGGTTTACCAGCCGAGCTGCTGCTCTGTGCATCTTCCTGTAAGTATGATGCGGTCGTAATGCATCAATCTTTTTATAATTAATGTGCCTTATTTTWAAAAAAAATGGCCATTCGAGAAATTGATTTGTTTGATATATTTTAAGAAATTTGTGTTTGCTAAGATTTATTTCAAATAGTATAATTTACAGTGTCATTTGGTTTTGGTCTTGTTTATGTTATCTTAACCATTTCTGACTAGTCTTATGTCCCGGCACGTTATCAGTTATTATCGGTTATCTGCTGTTAGGAGAAAGTTCTGTTCTTAAAATAATTTATCGTGCACCCCTATTTTATTCTATTTTTAAAAAATCATGCTGGAATGGAAACAATTAGCTTTTTTGTTGTTTTTGCTCTGAACCCAGAACAGAAAGACAACAACACTACAAACTTATGCATTTGTTCATTTATCACGAGTCATATCGTCATCGCAGGCTTTCCTAACATCGTGCAGCTCTAGTATGTAAGGCTTAACACACAAACCAACATCAGCACTAGCTACAAGTTTTCCCACTCAGGTGAAACCTGAATCACACGGCAAGGTGATGTTTGACCTGATTGAGCTCTTCTAATTATAACGATGGCTCTACAGATAATCTTAGGAGAGATTTCTGTCATGTGCTGAGTTCAGACTGATCTGGTCGTCTCAGAAGGATGTCGGGACCGTTTTCATCTTTTATGAACAGTTTTCATGACAGCTGCATTTGAAAATCCTCCATGTTTTCACCTGTGCTGTGATGAACGTCCATCACGGTGACGTCAGTGAAAGCAGCCAGACTTTGTTTTGCCACAAACTAAACAGAAGGTCTGAAGGCGCCTCGAGGCATTTAGGGATCAGGTTATTCCAGTAGGAACATCCGTGTCCACTGTGTGTGCTTTGAACACCAGCAGTGTTAGTTTGTTACACACAGCTGTGTGTTGGATCACAATGAGCAGCCGTCTTCCCCACCTCCTGTACAAAACTGTGCTCAAACATGAAACACCCACCTGTCTTCTGAACAGCTGCCCCGCTGTCTCTTCTCATTCTTACACAGCTCTGGCCACCACTTCCTGATGACGGCCTGAACCCAGTGTAAACCCACCGTTATGTGTCTTTAGACAAAAAAACAACAATAATTAACCCATTAAAAACAAACAAGTTTTTAAAATATGAATCTACAAATCTTCATATTACAGGGAAATTCAATAAATGAAAATGTATCAGTTGTAACTTTAGTTTGTTATTAATCATCATGAATTTGCAGTGAAACTTACTCCTCATGTTTGCTGGAGAGAACTCCTTTAACGTGGGGCACGAGGTCAACACAGCAGCCAAGTGACAAACATGGTGCTTCAGTTTGAAGGCTGGGGACACAAACACACCGTGAGGAGCAAATCAGCTGATTCTCAGCAAGAATAAACAAGAAATAAGATGACAGATAGGGCTGTGTATTGGCAAGAATTTGGCAATACGATACATATCATAACAGAGGGGTCACGATACGATATATCCCGATATATTGCGATACTGTAAGCAAGGCAATATATTGTGATACTGTAAGCAAGGCAATATATTGCGATATATTGCGTTTTTTTTGTCCAAAAATTCTATTAAATAAAAACCTCTTACTGAAAAAAAAGAAAAGCTAATGTTTACTTACAATGCTAATGCTACCC